TGAGTTCTTCCACTACTATATATATATATATATATATATATATATATATATATATATATATATATATATATATATATATATATATATATATATATATATATATATATATATATATATATATATATTTTTTTTTTTTTTTTTTTTTTTTTTTTTTTTTTCTATTTCTTTAGTTTTGGCCAGAATTTTCATTGCTATTAAGACCTCTTCCACATAGATCCTTCAAAAAATGGCGCCTATATGAGAATGTTGATGAATTTTTCTTTCAATATCTTTAAGATAGAGAAAAAAAGTTCTAAAGCTTTAAAAGTTCTAGATACAGTACAAATAAATCTCAACCTTTACAATATATAGTTAATAACGAAAATGATATTCTCAAGTCCTTTGTTTATACAATAATAAAAATTGAATATCTTTTGAAAAATCAGTTATTCAGGGTTATGAAATGACTGATGTTCAGAAGTGTCGTGGTATAGGTACACATAGTCTAGAGGACCACCGAAATAAAAGCGTACTTACTTTACGGATGTTCCCTAACAGCTTAACATAAAAACATAAGTAGATGCGAATCTTCGTATAAACTAAAGTTTATAAAGCTTTTACAACTTCACATAATAAAATAATTTTGGAAGATCAAGAATTTAAAAATTTTTGTTTATAATTATTATTTAAAAAAACGTTAAAAACGTTAAAATAAAACAAGCAACAACTAAAATAAAATATATTCTTAAAAAAAATATATATTTACATTTCCTCTAAAAAAAAATGTAAGGGTTTATTTTTTGTTTAAATTTAGCGAATGTTTTTCTACAGTTTAAAAAAATACTTTAATCAATGTTATGCTTTTCAAAATTTCGTCAAATATTTTATTCCGCAAACGTTTCGTCAAAAATTTTATTTCGCTGCGTGATTAAGAAGTTAGATTTTTAGGTGACGTTAGTGGAATATAATAACTGCTAATCGACTGTCTTATTTGATACTTGGGAGAAACTTAACTAGGGAGAAACTTTTGTTAAAATTTTTAGATTTCATTTTGAGGTTTAAACATAAATAATAAGTTCGTAAACATTAAAAACATTAATTACTTTGAGTAACGGCTTAGAGCTTTCGTAGTTATCATCGCCCAAAATTTATTGACTAATTACTTTTGCTAACAAAACATTTTTTAAGGGAAGAAGAATGATTGCTTCCCAATCAACTTTCTAAACATGATTTTATTTAAAAGATGTTTCGCTAAAACATCAAGGTCTTGTAATTTTGAGCTAAATAAAAACTTACGCATACGTGTAGGTGTATGATATTATGAACCCTTTAATTTTAGCAACATATGAAATAGTTATAAAATAATTTTAAAAATTAAAAATACTTGAATTCATTGATTTCTGTGAGTCTGACTAAAAAATATAAATTTCTTATTTTTAACAGTACTATTTTTTTCTTTATTAAAACACAAACAATAGAAACATTTATGATAAAAAATTGTCTGCTGTTACGTGTCTACCATATCCAAATGAGTTTATCCAAGTATTAAACTAGTACCTTACCTTAGCATTCTTATTTGGCATTACCATTCTAAAAAACTTACTCTAAATGTAACTAGCTGCTCAATTATTATCTTATTCAGAGCAGTGATGTAACGTTTTGGAGCCTTGTGCTGTAGCTCTTTAAGGCCCTTAAACATTTTTTTTAACTTTATTGAATTCATTTTTATTAAGTTTTATTTCTAAAAAAAAGGTTATACAAAGAAATTATAAATCAATTTTGCAAGCCCTTTTGCGTTTGTAATTGTTATCGACAGGATTTTTAATCCTGAAAGTCTTTCCTGTGATATTGTAGAACGTAGATAATTTACAATTAATTTTGAATTAGTTTGAATTAGTTTTGAAAATGATCGTTCACAAATAAGCAATGGTAATGGGTATTGTTAAAATTATTCGATATTTGCGATACATATATTTGGATAGAAAGTTCGTTTTTTGAATTCCTCCTCTTCAACGTTATTTTCTAAGCGTGTGACCAGATTTGAACAATTAGTATTGAGTTCATTTGCATTCATTAGTTTTTATTATCGAAAAGAAAACCAAAAAAATTGATTTAAAAAATTCAAATCGTTCTTGCAATAAATCTTTTACTTTATCGATTAGTTGATTAAAATAATATTCTTTAAACTTATCTTCAGTCGTTTGAGTTAGATGGTTATACTTATCATCAATTTTAGAAACGAGATCACGTATATCAATATCATCACAGTATTCAATTGGATAAATCATTGGCTATTGGTTCAATTTCTTCATTCGGTATATCAATATTGTAACATTTCTTATTTGCTTTATTTTTGTGATCTATATCAGGGACTACTTAAGGACTACTTAAAGGTGTTTTGAGGTATTTTCCCTGGTCTGTATAGTAACAATAGTCGGCAGGGCCGTCCTGAATAGGTCTTCCTTGGGTGTGTATGTATTTTTTTGCCAACTAAAAACATCAAAAAAAAAAAAAAAAGGTCGTCAATATTTGCAATTTGCCAACTAGTTCAAAACTTGCTCAATGTGCTAACTCAAATGCTTATATAACAGCTTTTGACCCCGACCCCCCCCCTCCTTCGGGACGACCCGTATCAGAGTATCAACTTTGCCAATCTCTTGAGATTATGTACTCTCCGTTTTGACTAAACAAGGTTCTGGTGATTTATCAAGACAATCTTTGTTTTTCGTTCAGTGAACTGTGCTATAAAATCTATATCTACCAATGATTCTTGTACTTCTTTAAAATCTGTTCAAAATTGTTTATGAAAGCATCAAAAGATTATAGTATAGCCTTTGCATGTTGTAAAACAATTGCCATATTTTTTGCTGAAGAAATTGGCTGAAAATGTAAATCTTTGGTTACAAGTGATACCAAGTTGTTGTGAGCACAACAAATTCATAAAATTTTATTTGTTTTATTAAAAATGCAGCATGAGTTTTACAATCTGGATGGCTATTTTTAAGTTTATCTAGCGCAAAACTAGTTTCTTTTATCTGGTATTTCACAGCTTTTATACCTTTTAAAGCAATATTTCCATTGAGAATTGCTTGGCGCCTTCAGATTATTTTTTTAATATTTTACTTAAATAGTCTATCGTTTTGTTGATGCAGCAAAAATCTTATATAAATTATTTAATGTAGTTAAATAATTCTGACTTTTAATAGTGTTTTTAACACTATATCATTTATAACTAAGTTGATGTTATGTCCACCACACGGCGCATACCATGCTTTGTTGTTGACTTCTAAAATTCAACTTTTCACTTCCTTATACTTTTTCCTTTCATATTGTTGTGTTGTCAAACGACTAACCTCGGCAATCAACTATCTTGATTTCTAATACTTCTAATTCCTCAATACAAACGTTTGCTAAATTTTCTCCGGTTGATTACATTATATTTACAAAGTTTGTGAAACTGCCTTGAACACTTGATTTTTGGCCCGCTATTATAACATACCAAATAATGATGTACAACTGGTCTTTTTTGCGAAAATCTGGTGTAGAATCTATCATTATGGAAAAGTATTTTGATGATTTATTATTACTTACTAGTATATGTAAAACTCTAAAAGTTAGTTGTAAAATAATTTTGATTTGACTTTTCACAAAAAAATGTGATGTAACTCTTTTTTCTGTATCAGTGAATGATTTTAAATGCATTTTGAATTTTGGAACAAAATCAGCAAGTAATTAAATTACTCCTAAAAAAATACCATTATTTGATTCAAAGAGTTTTTCGTTGCTGCCCCTAAAAGTTAAATTTTGTTCTCTTAAAAACAATACCGCTTTTACAATACATTTTAAAATTATTCGCCATTTGCATTTTTCTTAATTGAACACATTTAATTGAGATGATCTATTCCTGTTCTGTGTTTTATGTTAAATTCTAGAATTCGCCATTTTGTTTCTTTAAATATTTATGTTCAGATAACAAAATTTATCTAATGATATAGTAAGGCTATTTAATTCTGCTATTTTCCGGATGTGTTTCGCTCTTTTTTGTGCTCCGCTTTCATAACATCTTTTCAAGATTTGAAGTAATTAAATGTTGTATGCAAATTTAAATGAAACGACAAGTGAGTTTTAAAATGTTAACCAAACTGTTTTAAAAATAAATAAAAAATAACAATTTGAAACAATAAAACAACAGAACGATTAGTTATATTTGAAAAATATTATTTTTAATATTAAATCGTTATCAAATTAACCAAATTTTATTTTTGTTTCCATTTGATTGATTTCTATATTAAAACTTTTCCAAAGGGAAACTTTGGTCAAAATTTTATCTTCATTTGAATGGAATTTCATTTGATTGCGCGTGTAAAATTAGGAAATATTCCTCGAACTCTTAATAAAATGAAGTTTCTAATCGAAAAATAATTTAGTACTAAAGATTCTTAAGATTTGACGTCTAGTTTCTTATAAATAAGTTTCATATTAGAAAAACGTGTTATTAACATTTAGGGCCCCTTAAATATCGAGGGCCCAGTGCGGTTGCACTTCCAAAATTACGGCTCTGACCTTATCTTACAATGACTTTTCCGATGTAAAAAGCATATATTACAATCCTAAAAAGTTGTTATTTACTTAATCTTTAACATTCAACAGTCTTTACAACTTAATTTCAAAACCCCAAAGAGCACTTATAATTTGTTAGACATGGAACCAAATAACAAGATAGCGATTGCTGACGATCGAACTCGTTAAACAGAAGAGTATAAAATATGTAAAACAAAATGCGTCATACAACAAAACCAATCAGTAAAGATATAAACTTTATAAAAAAAACAAATAAATTTTGAAAATCAAGGGATTAAAAAGTAAAAACACAGGTTTTGAAAAATTTATAAAAAAACATTAAACCAGCATAAAATACAAAAAAATATAAACAATAATTTATAAGAAAGTACATAAATAGACATTAAAAAAACAAGAATTTAAAAAAGGTTTGAAAATTGTAATAATTAAAGCAGAAAGTATAATAATTTTATTGGCCGTAATTAATAATACCTAGATAAAAGATTATCAAATATGCAATATAGAGAATCAAATTAAGAAGTTATTACTACCAATTAATTAAAAATATCAATTCATTTTTACTACTAAAATTAGAAGAAATGTCTAACTATATTTACAAATATACGTTTTGTGTTACAAAAAATAATTTAAATAAAAAATAAAGTAAAATGTTTACTTAACCAATGTACATAAAAAAATTGTATCTGCCCCTCTTACTTCCGAGATAAAGCAATGCATCGTTTATTAACAGAACACATCGTACAACAATAACACTTCTCATACATAGCAGCAGATTGTTTAAGAAAAATAACTCTTCCACATAAATAACATTTGTCTGTATCAGGGGCAGTGAACTGTTTGTGTTGTTGACACAAAAATGCTTGAGTATCATTATTTTTCCATGGGCGGAATCCACCACACACTATGCATAAATCTTTCGATGGAAGTGGTTTCTGAGAAAGGCTTTTAGCTCTTAAACTGCAAATATTACAACAATGAACAGGTTGCTTAAATGGATTGTTGCCAGGTTGAATAAAGTTTCCACATCTTAAACCCTGAAAAAAGTATTTTTTAAATAAAGAGACAAGAATTTACTTTATAAAACTATTTTTTTTATATAACATTTTTAATAAATTTTCCAAAAAATTATATTTAAAATCAAAAAATTAAAACATATATTTAAATTTTGATAACTAAAATTTGTATTTTTATTAAATGTTGCATATCTAAATAACTTCTTATAATTAATTATTAATTTTATTACACATTAATTATGTACTTTGAATCGCACTATCTTAAAATCATTATTATTATAACTTATTATTATATTAAATTAATTAATAATAATGTATACTTCATTATTGTTAATTTAACTCACAGAAAAGATTCTACTTCTTTCCACATCAGATATATGTTGACTTCTCACATCTTTGCGTAAAAATGAAATAATTTCCTCAGCCATGCCAGACTTTTTAAAATGGAATACAATAGCAGATGCTGTTCTATAGTCATTGGCACCATGCTTCAAAAAATATGTCCCAAGCTCTTTGTGATGTTCTTTAACTTTATTTTCTTCTTGTAAAAATGTTTGAAAAACAACCTTAAAAAAATTGTTTGTAATATATATATATATATATATATATATATATATATATATATATATATATATATATATATATATATATATATATATATATATATATATATATATATATATATTCAATATATATATAAATATGTATGTATGTATGTATGTATGTATGTATGTATATATATATATATGTATGTATATATGTATGTATATATATGTATATATATATATATATAAAATATATATATATATATTATATATATATACATATATATACATACATATATACATACATATATATATATATACATACATACATACATACATACATACATACATACATATTTATATATTTATATATATATTGAATATATATATATATATATATATATATATATATATATATATATATATATATATATATATATATATATATATATATATGATCAAACTTTTTTTAAACAAAAGACTTTATATGCTTTATATATGTTTTAACATTATATAATCAGAAGTTTACATAAGATAAATATTTGCATACACTTTCGCTTGCATTTTCTTATTAAAAAAAGTGAATGCAAAACTGATATGCCATACTCTTTATTTGCATTTCATTGTATCCATTTTTAAGGAAGACATAAGCTAAAAAACTTATTTCATTTTGTAAATAAGACTTCTTTTTTACATTAGGATCTTATTTCTCTATTTTTATATGGAATCATCTGTTCTAAATTTCTATGGAATCATATCGTTCCTAATTTTTTATGAAAACACTTCAGATTTAAGTTTCTATAGAATTATCTATCTAAGATAACATTTTATGGAATAAACTCAGACATAATATTTATGGAACAAACTATGGCATAACTTTTTATGGATTAAACTCAGACAATTTTTTATGGAGTAAATTCAGACATTTTGAAAATTATCTCAAGCAAAAAAAATTAAAAATTATCTAAAGTAAAAAAAAAAAACTTTTATTTAGATTATTTTTATTTTTAGAATACTTAAAAGTATAGTTTATAATAAATTATTTTTTATTAAACTTTCTTTTTAATAACACACATACAGTAACATCTTTGATCTTAAAAATATAGATTCTTATTTTCTGTTTATTCTGATAATTATTTTTATCTCCTTTTATAACATATATAATATATATATATAAATATATGCTACATATATATAACATATATGCTACATATATAAAATATATATATAAATATATATCATTAATCTTGAGACTATAGATTCTTATTATGTTTCTCTTTTTTTAGGCTAACGATCATAACTACTTCCTTTGGTACTTTGGTAGATATGATAAATAAACTTGGTTGTAGACAAATGGGGGCTTTGTCATGTTATGTGATAAAGGCCTAGTCAATGTAAATGTAGCCACTGAAATCACCACTTTATAAACTGACAACATGTTGTTTGTCTGTGAAGGAGAATTTGCGGATTTCAAGTTCTTGAAATCCACAAAATCTTCCTCTTAGTGTAAATGTGCACATGTAGTTAGAATGAATGTGCAAAGTTCAAATCTTGCCAAAGACTTAAACCTTCAATTGTAATGCACTACATTAAAACAATATATATCCTCAAACTTTGCAAAGAGCATGAGTATAAGAGTATTAATTGTGGCATCCTGTCATGTTCTCAGACCATGCGTAAACTAAGCAGTTTGCTGCATACAAAGTCAATGTGCCAACACGCAAACTTATGCTTCAATCCTTGATAAAGTTCAACTTCTGTTAAGCAATGTTCAGTAATTATGATTTGGATAGTAATCATTGCAAACAGTTTTGCTACTGTACGCCAGGTGAAAATAGCTTTTTGCTATAAATATTAGGTGGTCAGATCTTTTTGGTTATTACTGTACTTCTAAACCTTTTAGATTAAAAAAAAATTATGAACTTACATTTTGCAAATTGTTTCTATTTTATCTTATTCATCACAAGTCTATTTTAAATCTCAGATAAATCTATTAAATTAACTTAAGGGTAATCATTTTATGTTTTATTTGATCTATTTAGCTCTTAGTATATATTAAAACTCTATTAGTATTTAATTAAAAAAAAAAAAAAAAGTATAGTAGAAAAAGTATTGTCTACTTTTTCTACAATAAAATTAACTAGCGATGGTTTAGCTTTTTTTCCTTTCTTCCTAATATGCTTAGATTTCTTTACAATAAATAGGTTTTCTAAACTTTTTTAATTGAAAAAATAAAATTTAATTTAGTTTGATTGACTAATAATAAATAAGTCAGCAATTGAATAACACTGTATATGACTGTTTCCAGACTCTTTGAAAAATTTCAACCAAAATGTAAAGAGCTCAACCATTTGTGCAACCATGATAATATCAAAATACAACCAAATGACACATAATATCAAAATACAACCAAATGACACATAATACAACCATTTTTATTACAAAACAAAAATATTCATCATCATCTTCATTAGTATTTTTAGTCTGTACATGTAAAAATTAATTTGATTTCCTCTAACAAGAAAAAACAAAACCCAATCAAAAACTCTAACTTTACACTAAACTAGCAACTTGATTTTCTGTCTTTCAGACCAATGCCACAAATCTACTTGCGACTATTTTGTTTATTACCTACATCATTATAATCTTGTCTTAATTGACTACCATACATCATAACAAACTGGACATGTTTTATAACACTGAGTAACTTTTAATTCTTTAACAATAAACCTTTTGATTTTAGATTCAGAGATAATTCTTTAATCCTGACTCAGGCACCTCTTGCTTTTAACTTTTTGCTTCCATTTAAAAAAAAAAAAAATTTGAGAGATGGCTCAGAAACAAAAGAGGTCAGAGATTCGACGCCAGCTCTAGCCCAATGAGTGACATCAGTAAGAAAGGAGTCACAAACATCCTTGTTAAATGCTCTTCTGTGGTGCTTTGTGATTGCAAGGACTTTCTGGGGGGACCTTAAAATACAAAATTTCAGCTTCCAACACCAAATATTCAAAAGTTATGTTTTAAAATTCATTACAACATTTATTGTAATGAATTTTAAAACATTACTTTTGAATATTTGGTGTTGGAAGCTGAAATTTTGTATTTTAAGGTCCCCCCAGAAAGTTCTTGCAATCACAAAGCAAGAAAAACAAGGATGTTCGTGACTCCTTTCTTACTGATGTCACTCATTGGGCTAGAGCTGGCGTCAAACCTATGACCTCTTTTGTTTTTGAGCCAGAACTCGCTGCGCCACAGCTGCTTTGAAATGTTAATATAAACACTGCTGGTTAAAAGGTGCATATAAAAAATCAAAGAAAAAGGGTGAAAAATATCAAAGCGGCGAGTGAAAATTTTCAATTTTTGTTTAACTTATATATAAAATTTACTAAATATTTAAAAATAAAAAACCTGTTTAGCAGAAGAATGAAAGAATGAATAAAATTCACAATTTTCACTTCCGGTGTTGAGTAGAAAAGGTTTGATTTGTCTTCTGATTTTAACCCATTGAAACATAGGCAAGGTTTCTCCATTTTCGTCTCCAAGTAAATGCAATAGTTCCATTTCTGCAAGATTGTGAGCTGAACAAGCCAGGTAACAAAGTGTCTAAAAGAAAAAGAACAATTTTTTTTTCAATATCAAAATAAAAATAAACAAAAACAAACTCAAACTAAACAAGACATTAAAAAGATTTACCTTTTCTATTTTGTTTGTATCATCTTCAGTAATAATTCTTTTTAATATGAATGATATCAAACTGTCTATTGTACCTATAAAAAAGCAAAAAAATAAAATATTTAGCGTACCAAAGCAAAAACATGATTATAAAAATTCATTTGCATTTTTTTAAACAACTCTTTAACAACTTTCTAATAAATTTATTAGATATTTTAATTTTAACTTAAGGATTGTATAATCTGATATAAAATATGTTGTCATTTATGTCTAAAAATTAATTAAAAAAAAAATGTGTTGTCAATGTGTAACTTAAAAATGTGCAATTAAAAAAATGTATAAGTAAGATTAAACAAACAAAATATCTTGTGTGTTGATAATAAAGGTTTCAATAAAGTCTAAGCAATAAGTTGATATAAGTACGAAGAGCCATACTGATGATAATGACAACAATCAATCCAGCAAAATAATCTTCATTTGATTTTTTTCAAAAAAGCATACTTACATATTTTTTAAATGTTTTATTATAGATTCATTTTTGAGAAAGCACCTGTTATATATATATATATATATATATATATATATATATATATATATATATATATATATATATATATATATATATATATATATAATATTATATATATAATATTATATATATAATATTATATATATAATATTATATATATAATATTATACATACAATGCTTTCATAATAGATACAAAAAACATACTTAATGATAAATAATAATTAAATAAATAGAATTAAATTAAATAAAATGTTTTCTTTACTTGGAAGTTCTTTAATTCGTTCAGTAACTCTTTCAAACACTCCAAACACTCTTAGTTCCTCACAAGCAAGAGCTAGCCAAAGTGGAGAGGATGATCCTTCACTTGAAACTAATAAGTCAAGTTGCTCAGGATCTAACTTTTTGTTATAGCGACCAAATAATAGTTGCACAAGCTTAATACGATGCTCTGTGGTAAAACCTTGGAGATACATAATTTCACTTTGGTTTTGAAACTTTTCATTAATAGAAGAATAACCATTTCCAAAATCAGGTGTGCAACTGATAAGGTAACGAATATCTAAATCGTCACTAGGTAAAGGCAACCATGAGCAAGATTGACCTGCTTCATCTTCAAATTGGTTTACAGCATCAAGAACAATAGTAAAGCCTTTTTTTTCAACACAGATTTCTTTGAGCAAGTTATGGAAAACATTTAAAATGTTTTCATAACCTGTCATATTTTCAGGTGATGGTTTATTCAGTTGAGCTGAGAGCTGTTGTATGAAGTGCAACATTACTTGTAAAGATTCTGTAGACCCAGGTGTAGACGATGAGAAATTATACAAACAAGGTATTTGTTTCTGAAACAAAATATAAAAAAACTTATACATTTCTAATATTCATTTGTTATAAGTTTTTCTTCTAAAACCATTTTTATTGTTTAAATTTTACAGCAAAATATGTCAACATCATGTTATTAAAAAATTTGTCATGCAAGCATTAATTAAAAAAAAAATGTTTAAAATTATTAAATATTTAAAAAATTTTAAAGTTAAAAAAATAAAAATTAAATATTGATACCAAATTAATAAAATATAGTTATTTAGTAGGCTTTTGATGAATGCAAGTATGCAAAGCCAACTTAAGTTTTTTTTTGATAAATGCAAGTATGCAAAGCCAACTTAAGTTTTTTTTCTGATAATTGAAGTATGCAAAGCTAACTTAAGTTTTTTTTTAGATGCTTGAAGTATGCAAAATCTACTATAGTTTTGACACAAAGTTTTAACTGTCAGAATTATTAATACTTTAGTTATTTTGATGATTCCAAATAACATTCTGATTTACCAAGATTTCAATATTAAAAAATGTTTTATCGTAATAAATTAAAAAGAAATTTTAAATCTTATATTTTCAATAACATTCTGATCTTTATCACCAATGGATGTTTATCACTGATAGTGATGCAATAATTTTTATCACCAATAGATATTTATCATTGATGGTAATGTAATGGATGACACCCCTGTAACTATTTACTTATTTTTTTATCTTTTTTCAATTTTAACATTTATTGTTCCACGCTTGTGTGGTTTGGACAGATTTTCTTTATACCATTTTTAATTTAAATATGACATTATGAATGAATTGTAGCAATTTATTAAAATTGCCTTTCTCTGCATTATCTTGATTTGTAAATCAGAAATTAATATTTTTATTGTGATACTATTACTAGAAGGATCCAAGGTTGACAAACTCTTTTGACTAATACCCAATTCAATTGGAGAGTTTTTATCAGAGTTTTCCTTCTCTTAGGTAAGTTGCCTTTACCATAGCTAAAAACCCTCACCTGCCCCAATATAGAATCACTTTAAAGTTTTGATCAGTTCTTCATTACCTTTGAATAATATTGAACAATTATACAAATTACTATCTGTTATTCATGATTCAAATAATACTTAGTTGCAAAATAGAATTTCAAATTATTTTTTTTTAAATCTGAATATCATCACTTAAATTTGTTTTTTAAAATTCAGTGATAATATTCAGATTTAAAAAAAATATATTTGAAAAAATATTTGAAAATATTTATGTTAAATTTGTTTTTTAAACTAATTTTAGTGATGATGTTCAGATTTTAAAAAAATATTTGAAAAAATATTTACTAATTTCAGTGATGATGATCAGATTTGTTCAAGTTACACATAGATGCAATCTATTATCTATTGTTCTTTGTTAAATATCAAATAATTTTTTTTTAAATTTAAGATTAAATTCAGGCTTGAATTCTTTTAATTCTTTTTGTTATTCATTTTCATCATGGTTTTCATCATTTTCATCTCCTTTATGATTATCTTCTTCTTCAACTGCCAATCGCAACAATTACTTTCACCTTTATGATTGAAAACTTTTTTTAATTAAATTTAAAACAAACTTTTAAAACAGCAAGAAGCTTACTGGTATTGTTTAATGTTTAATGGGTGTTCAATAAAAAGGTATTGTTTAATACTTTTTGGGTGTTCAACAAAAAAATATTGTTTAATACTTTTTGGGTGTTCAATAAAAAAGTATTGTTTCCTAGCGAACATGTCCTATTGGGGGCCAAATGGGTTTGCCCAAGTGGGCTTTATGTGGGCTTTATATAAGGGCCCAAAATGAGCACCATGTGGGCTAGCCCTTGAATACTGTATTCAAGGGCTAGCCCACACGGGACCCATTTAGGGCCCATATATGTAGTTAATAAAGTGTTAAATTCCATCTTATTTTCTAAATTTAAATGCCACACGGTTTGTAAATTTGGGACCCTAATATTAATGAAATACCCTATGAAAACCCTTTTAAGAGAGGATAGTACATAACAATGGATGGCCATACAGAGTGATTTTGAAATCCTGCATTAACATCCAATGGAGATTTTTTACCTTGAAGTTTTGAAGGAAATAAGAATTTTAAGCAACATTTGGCAGCCTATTTGTAGTACAAAAATACATTTCTGATTTTTTATCATAAAACAAAAAATGTTAAAAACATAAATTGGGAGCTTTTTTATTTTATTCATTTATTTTCTTAATGATCGCATTTAGAAGATAAACAACAATTTCTATAATTCCATTAAAAATTATAATGCTCTCTAGAGACGAATCATCTGGAACAAAAAAAAGGCACTAAAATATCACAAATCTGTTAAGAGTATTCTTAGGTTTTTTTTAACACTGTTCTTTAGATCTAGATTTTCTTGCTGTTGTATTCAATCACACACTTCAGGAGTTGGCTGACATAGTCTGGATGTGAGGAATCTCGTTTGTATCTCTCCCAATGAACTTTGAAATTGGAGTGCAGAGCTTCTGTTGCCTGCTCACTGAAGAGACCCAATCCTGTTTTCTTGATTTTGATGAACTGAGGTACATGGTAAAACACTGCATGTACTTTTGGAGTAACTGAAATGGGTAGGCGGATGTAGCTTTGTTTGAACTTGGAGATCTTCGATTCATAATCAGGATCCAAATTATTGCCAAAGCAAGAAATGACCACATCCTTAAATAGTGCAAGTGTTTGCATGAAGTCATGAGCTTGACTAAAATTGTTGTATCCTGTGACCAATTGCAACTTGTCTAAACCTCTCAAGAGCTTCATGCAGTCATTCCCATTGAAATGTTCACCATGGTAGGGCTGAATAGGAATATGAAGTGAAGCTGGCCATTTCTCGACCCCTGGCCAAATTTTGCAAAGATTTTTTACAAATGGTTTACTACTCCAAGTAACAAATGGAGCTCCATTGGAGGGATAGCTTCAAGCACAAGCTTGTGATCAGGAAAATCAACCAATGGTATGTGAATGACATTTTTGAACTCTTTTGATTTTCTTGTATCTCCTCCTGCGTTGATGAATTCAAAATGTTGTCTCCTAATCTCGCCAAAAGTTCGAGGACTTCCACAGTTTTGGAGGTTTAAAGACAAAACATCACACCAACAACATGGGTGTTTGCTGCTATGGGATTGAATGCCACACAGAATATTTGCCAACTTTAGGTCACATGATATGACCAGAGAATCCATCTGACATTTCTCTTGTACTTGGATGAGGTCAAAAATTGCCTTCACATTATGGTAGTTCTCTGGAGTGTTTTGTGCAATTGCTACCAGTAGTTGCTGCTTGACACTTGTTGATTTAGTTGTTTGTGGAGACATCAATTTGATTGTTTTCTGCAGTGGGCTATGTGGCGGTGTCTCACCTTCATCCACAATGATGTGTGTGAAGCTGACTTTCAAAAAAGATCCTCCACCATCAATCCCTAGTTTCAAAATTGCAGAATCTGTCATCTTTCTTGATGCTAAGAAGACATCACTAAGACTATTGAGGTTTTGACAATGCACAACTTGGGATATTTGATTGTTTTCAGCAAGAGTGATGCTGCTCACAGTGAAGTGATCACAAAGTTTTTGGCCTGCTTGAGCGAATTTTTGCTGAAAACTTGGCTCCACCAATCTGATAGGACTGATTTGATTTAGTGCCGATTTAGTGGGTGTTCAATAAAAATTTTGAAATTTATAAACAATGCTCTTACTTCTTAAATTTTTAAGCTAATAATTAAACAGAAACATATTTTTAGAACACTCTAAAAATCCTCAATTGGGCAACATGCTGAGACGATAGAAAAAAACTATAACTTAAACAACTTATTTTCTTGTCTGCTAGAAAGTGATACTTGAGGTCATTTTGAAATATTAAATAGAAAGTAATATCTGTGCTCATTTTGAAATATTAATTAGATAGTAATATCTGTTGGTCATTTTTATATATCAAAATTAGAGATTTTCTAATCTTTTTAACAGTGGTCAAGTTATTAAAAAAGTTTTTAATGAAGAAAATATATTAATTTTTTGCACATTCAGAAAAATATACTTAAATTATTTAATCTTTTTTCTCACAGTGTTAAAGTTATTTTGATGAACAGTATTCTTTTATTTTTTTTCTCAAATCACAGTGTTAAAGTTATTTTAATGAACAGTATTCTTTTATTTTTTTCTCAAATCACAGTGCTTAAGTTATTTTAATGAACTGTATTCTTTTATTTTATTCTCAAATCACAGTGTTAAAGTTATTTTTATAAACAGCATTCTTTTATTTTATTCTCAAATTACAGTGTTAAAGTTATTTTTATGAACAGTATTCTTTTATTTTTAATAACTTATGAGGTAAGGTAAGGCTTACCTCATAAGATCCAAGATCCCATATTGTTCCTTACTTACATTAAATATTTTCCTGAATACTTTACTATAAAAATTGGTTATTTTGCTGATAATATATTCCATATATTCTAGTCTAAATAAAAAGTCAGCATTTTTTGATTGTTCAGAACAAACAATCAATCTTGATTATGATCTCTATGACAACATTTAAATTTTAGTTATATTTGATTGATCTACAATCACAATATACTTGATATAAAAACATGACAAAATTCATTGCTATTAATATATTTTCAGTTGTTTCATTTTTCTTTGTTTCACAACAAAATAATAAGAATATATAAGATAAAGAAATCTTTAGCTTTGCAAAAACAGAAATTTGAAAACATATGAAAAAAAAATGTCATTATTCTACTGACTTGATTAAAAAAAGACCTGAGAAAGTTGAAGAACACTGGCTGCTATTAGTGAAGATTTTCCACTACCTTGCTCTGCAATTAAAAGAAAACACTTTTTTTCACCAGTAGTTGCAAATTCCATGATATTACTGATTTCCTTCTCTCTGCCGACCAACAGTGAGCCTAAAAAAATGAAATTTTAGTGAACAAGCTTGTATAATATAATATTTATAGCAGTACAACCAATACAAATTTTTGGTATTTATGGCTAAACTGATACATAACTATTATAAACTGACATAAAAATCACTAAGTGAGGAAGAAATTCTAAATTCAATCCCTTTCTAACCAAATTCTAACCAAAAAATATAGAAACGAGGTTGGCAATTTTTTGCCGAATTCAAACACTTTCAGGTCAGCAGTTAAGTCGGCATTGCCGAATGCCGGCCTTTATTGCAAGGGTTGATATATGTATACATATGTATACATGTATATATATATATATATATATACATATATATATATATATATATATATATATATATATATATATATATATATATATATATATATATATATATATATATATATATATATATATATATATATATATATACAGGCTTCGGCAGGAATAAAAACCGTACGGGCTATGAAAAGCCCGTCTTAAATAGACTTGGCGGGCTATGAGGGCTGCCCGTCTAGATGGTCTTGCACGGGCTTTTTTAAACTTTAAAAAAAATTCTAAAGTTTTAACTTTTTTTTTTTTAAAATTTGTTAATTTCTCTTCTTCTTTTTAAATGAAAATGTCATTGAATATTAAACATTTTGTGAATTGCACTAAAATGATATGTTAGAAAGCGATTAACTGTTTAAAATGCTTAATTACTTAAGTAATTAAAACACTGCAGTAAGTGAGTTGGATAATACTTAAAACTAAGATTTCAATAATTGTTTTTCAAAGTTTTCACTTGCACAGATCTAATTTCGTTTCACGTGGGTTAGTTGTTTTATGGTTGCTTTTGTTTAGATTTCTTACTCGAAGGAACTTTATTCAGTTTTTTATGTTTTTTTTTTTTTAATCTTTATTCCAGATAATATCTGGCAGATATAGTCAAACGAATGAACGTGAAAACGACGGGAAAAATCCTCGAAACAACCATGGCGTTTCATCACGTTTCCTTATTCAAGCATCCTAAAGAGTTTTTTTACCGAAGTCTTTTTGAGTATATTTATATATTATTGTTTTATTCAAGTATTTGATTAAATTATACAGGTTTTTATCGTGCTTTTTTAGTTCATTCGTTTCTCTTATTCTTTGTGAATAAAAATATTACATAATATTTTCAAAATCTAATTTTTTTAATTATTCAGCAAATAGTTTGAAATCTTTTTTTTTTTAACCTTGAATCAATGAGCTCGATAGTTTTAGAATTGTTTGGTATTAGCTTGGTAATATGATACGTAACCATGTTATTTTTCAAATTCAAGTATTTATATACTCTTGCATTCTAATGGGCGTGCAAATTAAAACTTAAACTGTTATTCATATTTTTATAACTTTGCTTTACCTATGCCTATCCTGATCGGAAAT